CACGGGGAACCGGTCGACGTTTTGGGGTGAAAACTGGGCGTCTGGGCCGTTTCTAAGTATTTTTAATTATTTTTTGAAAAAAAAACGCACACACACACACGCACGACGCGGTGAAAAAAAATTTTTTTTTCTCTCTCTCACTCTCACTCACTCTCACTCACTCTCTCTCTCACTCACTCACTCTCTCACTCACTCTCAGTCGCATGTGTGTGTGTGTGGGGGTGGGGGGGGGTGGGGATGGGGGGGGTGTGGGGGGGGGGTTTAGAGATTTTTTTTGGGGGCTCCACAATTATGACTTGAATTCATTTCTTGGGGAATAAACCAAAGGAATGTGGGGCTATTGATACTTTTTGCCGAGGAGCCCCTTCTCCCAATTTACCCCCTTTCCCTCCCCCCCCCCACCCCACCCCCCCCAAAAAAAAAAATCAACACTTTTTATGACCTTGTTTATTCCTTTTTTTTTGCTACTCCTGTCTCCCCCCTCTCTCTCTCTCCGCTCTCTCTCTCCGCTCTCTCTCTCTCTCTCTCTCTCTCTCGCTCTCAGGTCTGCGAAGAGCAGAAATGCGAAGAAGAAGTCTTTCCTCTGGCAATGAATTACTTGGACAGGTTTCTATCGGTTGTGCCGACTCGAAAGTGTCACCTGCAGTTGCTGGGAGCAGTTTGCATGTTCCTCGCCTCCAAACTCAAAGAGACTATTCCACTGACGGCTGAGAAGCTTTGCATTTACACCGACAATTCCATCAGAGCGCACGAGCTGCTGGTAATTTCACGCCGCGACTCCTTTCGACTCACGACCAAGTCACAGAACCGTAGAGCCTTGCAGATGCACGGAAGGAGGCCATTCGGCCCATCGTGCCTGCGCTGGCTCTTTGGAAGAGCTACCCAATCAGTCCCACTTCCCCCGGCTCTTTCTTTCCCCCTATCCTTGGCACGTTTTTCTCAATAAGTCAACCGTATTCGCAGAGCCAATCAATCCGTCCTTAGAAACAGACCCAGATGAATCCTCTCTTGCTTTGCCACCCACCTTTTTTTTTCCCCCCCCCCCCCCACCCCCACCCCTCACTTTCCAGGAAATCTCGAGTTAAGCAGCAAGTCGTCCTCTTGCTTTACTGACAAAAAGAAACACATTCCGCATCAGAAACAGGGTAAAACGAGAATTATTACGTGCAGAGCAGCAAAGCTAGAGTGTCTTTGAAGCAAATTGCAATTCCTTCCCCGGGAATATTGTAAAAATATGGACGTTAATCGGGTTTTAACGTGTGCCCGTTCATTGGCTCTAGATTACAGACAAGTTATACAACTGCTGGCATCATTGCCAACGAGGTTATTTTTCGAAAATAAAGTTCGGTGGCAATTTCTGGAAAAGGTATTGCTGAATAGGGAGGGGGATGACCTTAAAAAAACAGGAGCGAACGCACTTCCTATAGTTACAAAATGAAACCGAACCCTGCACATCTGAGAAATATTTCGTAAAAAGTCCTTTGCGCGAGTCTGTGGCGCCATCTAGAGCAGTTGTCCACATCTTCACCAATTACTTCACCGTTGAACACGCGCCAGTTTGCCTCCGTACCATACAGTGCAGAATAGATCTCCTTGTTTGAAATGTGCTTTATTTAAGATGAAAAAAAAAAGACCTCCCAGTGCATTTTCTCCTCCTGGCCAATTGCTGCTTTCCCGAATTGCGTTCTAACGCGATCAATAAGAAAATAAGGCAACTATCGCCTTTTTTGCCCCCACCCCCCCCACCCCCAGAAAATTCAGTCAAAATTCACTTTACGGTACATTCTGTGAAGCGCCTTGAGACGTCTCGAAGACGTGATGAGGGCGCTGTATCAAAACCGAGGATTATTCTTATTTTTTTTCTTTTTTTTTATTATTTATTAGGACTGGGAGTTAGTAGTTTTGGGCAAGTTGAAGTGGAACCTTGAAGCTGTAACTCCACACGATTTTATTGAACATATCCTGAAGAAACTTCCCCTTCCTAAAGACAAGGTGCCTTTGATCCGAAAGCATGCACAGACGTTCATTGCCCTTTGTGCCACAGGTATGACGAGTTCTGTGTCTGTGCAAGACGCTGTTTATGTCTGTGTTAGGCATTGTATAGCAAGGGAAAATTGTTCTTGTGATTGTCTGCAGAAGCAGACCAGACTAAACCTCTCAGTATTTTACTGTCCTTCGGAAGTGTACAGTTAACAAGAACTTTGTGGTGCTCGATGATGATTTTGCCAGTGTTGCGAGAATATTTTTAATGTATTTTTTTGCGTCACTTTGTGTCACTATTCTGCAACGGCTTGAGTATAATCTATCCACCCGCCGCCATTCCAGAACAGCTTCGAAGGGATCATATATTGTCTCTTTACAGGTTCCAACCAGCAAAATACTCTTCTTTTGCTAGGGAGACCCTTTGCATCACCTCTTCCCTGGCCCCCTTCAAGGCCTGTGTATCAAGACCTTCCTCTTTGACCTCACTTTTGGTCCTCTTCCCACCCTCATCCTCCTCGGCTCCATCCCTCCCGAATCGAACCCCCAAACTCTTGAATGTCCAGCACCTTGGGACATCCTCGCAACGTAAAAGGCGCTATATAAATACTTTCCTATTTCCTATTTTTGCTGTTGTTATATTATGAGTTGAAACAAGCAGACTATACTTTTAGTTTTGCTGATGTTTAGCAGTTTTGCTCATGGGTGGCTGCCTGACGGAGAGCTGCGTAACTTTCACACATACAGTTCTAGAAAGAGATTAGTTGCACTAATTTAACATGGGCGTTATCTCCTTCAGATCCACTTTGATCTTGTCTTTGAAGATTTTTTTTCAGAAAATACTGGAGAACATCCTTTTGTTGTCAGTAACGTATACCGGAATGGAAATGAATACAGAATCTTTTAAAAATAATTTTCATTCCTTAGAAGCAGAGAGTCAGTTTAAGAACTGACTGAGAACCCTATAGGTAAGCACTGTTGGTGCTTTTGTTTAGTGCGGAAAATAAAGTTCAAAGTCCATTCTAATGAGTACAACAATAGAAATGTAGAGTGATCTGCTTACACAAAGTAAGCAGATCCTCCGTTCAAGGATTTAACATATTCATAATTCAGAAGTTTAAAGCCACCTGTCATTAATTGTTTGAAAGATATTGAGAAATTTGAGATTTTGGAGAGGGAAAAAAAAAGTATATCGTTACACTATTAAAACCCACACATGGTCACACACAAAACTGACACAAAGCTGAGGGATGTAACAGCAATTTTCCACAGTAAAATAAAGTTAATTGCGGAAAGTAGCTTCTGTTGTTTGGAACAACACCTGAGCATATTTTTGACCTGAAAGTTTGCATCGCTACCCCTTCTGCACTGAGCGAAACTTTTATTAAACGTGCAATTTGCGTAGAAAACCGAGCGATCAATGTTTAACCCTTGTGCCTTCCAGCTGTCAACAATTTTTCTTTTTAATATCAATGTTTTGCACTACTGTATTTTACTTGGTGTCTGAAATAACGCTGGAGCTTACCCTGGGCTGCAGTCAGAGACCTTCAGCACCTACGCTGCTGTAGACCGTGGAGGTCTTAATTCCAGCTGTTTTTGTGCTGAGCAAAGACACATGTGGGAAGTAAAAACAAAAATCATGGCACTGCTGCCCCCTATTGGTTTAAAATAGACGGGGTGGATCAATTCTGACCTGTGTCATATACCAGGGCTGTGTTTACCCAACACAAATACTGATCTGAAGTCCAGGGGTGGAGAAGAGTACAGGAATGGTGGGGGGAGTGAGGGGGCGAGGCTGTACCAGTACCAACAGATTACTGAGGAATGGAGTCCATTCCACATTCTCTGGCACCAACTTTGTAGTTTAAACTGGTGCTAACGTGAATTCCAGATGTTAAACAGTAACTCAGCACTGAATCTGCTATTCTGCTGGGAATGCCAGCCGTACATTCCAGGGCACTGCTTTTTGTTTGGAAAGCCAGGTCGGTCCTATCTTTGTCAATAGAATATTCAGAGCGAAGAAGGTTGCAGGGAACACGACGAAGAAGAATACATTACTTTTAACTGTAACAAACTGTGACTTAAAAAGCCAGCGATGCTGTCTGACTGCTTCAATTATTTTGTTAATAGAATTGCCATTTGAATTGTTGAATTGATGATAAATGTGCAGAAGATGGATGATACCTGGAAATGCAATAAGATTGAAATGCTGAATAAAATTTTGGAGCGCAATTGGCTGCTGCCTTTCGCCCACAAAATATACAGTCAATTCACTTTACAGTATATTCTGTGAAGCGTTTTGGAGACGTCTCAGTGACGTGATAAGGGCTCTTCATCGAATGAAGGATTGGTATCATTTAGAAATATTGTTTATGAGTGGAAGTGCAGACATAAAGCGTCAGCAACTAATTTTACAGACTGGGAGGTCTGCAAGAAATTTTAAAGAGAGCAGTTCATTAAAAAAGACTATTATCTAATCAGTGATGGTAGTGGAATAACTAAGAGTAAACCAGCTCATCAATTAAGATTATGTTTAGAACTTCAGGTTGGATTGTTTCCTTACAATTTCTAGCAGAGGTAACCAGTCATAACATGACTGGGAGCAAACAGAAGGTAGACGAGGCAAAGGCATTCAGTATTAAGGGGAATTTATGGAGTGAGCAGCAGTAGGACAAAGGTGATCGTGTTAAACAAAGGATGGCTAGTTTCCTGAAGCACACAAGCAGTTGAAGGGTGGTTGCAGGTGGGTCTGAGAATGTTTTATTCAGGATGAAAGTGGACAAAATTTGAGCACGTACTCCCAACGAAAAGATGTTCTCATTAACCGAGCGACTCATGATGCCCATCTGTTATAAGCAAGTGAGCATATGTAATCTTTCAGCAGATGTTTTTATTTTTTTCCTACTGTATTTACAAGTAACCAAATTACTTTCTGAAGAACAGAGTATCAGAATATCTTTTCGCCAACATTAACGAATGGATTTTTTTTTCCCCCTTCTCCTATTGAAAAGGAATTTGGTTCATGTTGACTATCAATGACCGGTATTATCCATCTTCTGCGCATTTATCATCAATTCAGCAATTCAAATGGCAATTCTATTAACAAAATAATACCTGGAAATACCACATTTACTTCACACTCCGCACCTGAAACAGATATTTCTGGTCGAAAATTACAAATACATTTAATAATATAAATAATCATAATAATCCTTGGCATTTGATACAGTGCTTTATCGCATCGTTGAGACGTCTCAAAGCGCTTCACAGAATATATTGTAAAGTGGAGTGACTGTGCATCTTGTGGGCGAAATACGGCAGCCAATTGTGAACAGGAGAGTCTCACAAACAGTCGTGGATTGAGGAACCAATTTTTTTTAAAAAAACTTGTATTGAAAAAACCCCATAAATTTTAACTTTCTCTCAAGTGTGTGTTACACTGCTGGTGAATGCTGTGACATATCTATGTGGCGAAATTCATGAAACATCCACTGTTTTCGCTTCGATTCCTTTTCGCTCATTTAGCACGGAGGGACCTGAAGATTGAATTTGTAGGGACACCGACATACTCTCCCTCTAAAACATTGCAGGTGTTGTCGATTGTTACTTAATGCTGCAGTTAAATCTTCCTTTGTTTTAATATATATCTCCCCCACTCCCCCCCCCGCCCCACCACCTCACTTCCCGGGTAACCCAGAGCGGTGTAGCTGCTTTTTTAAAAAAAATCCTCTCTGCACTAATAGGGTCGGGCAAGCTGACGAACCATGTGTGTGAAATTGGTGCACTGCCCCCAGTCCTTTTGTGGGCACGTCAGCTTGAATTCATATCACCAGGAAGGTCATTTCCATGATTTTCAATAGCAAAAGATGAGGTGATGACTTCAAACAATGGTGCCACACTCTCCTGTTGGAGACACTTGCCTCACCCGTTGCAGTAGTTAATTAATATGCTAAAAATAGGAGCCACTGATACAAATCGCTGCCTGTTGCACAACAAAGACGGGACATGTGGAGCTTTGATAGCCAAGTTTATGGGCGCTTGTTATGGAGGGAAGCAAGAGTGGAGATTGAAACTATGCTAGTCTTTGGAAGCGAGGCATTAGTCACTCTGGGCCTCCAGCCATTCGCTAGCTGTCTCATTTGCATTGTGAATGACATTAAGGGAGCTTACAAGGTTATTTGGGCATTGAAATGTGTTCATGTGACCACACGTGGAAGGGGACCTACAGCAGAGTTAGCTGGCAGTGGCACTGTGGCTCTTTATTCAGACTTCCATGATCAGTGTGTTTCTGGGAGCTCACAGTTTGCTGATAAAAGAGGCCATATACAGACTGGTTTTCAATGTCCCTTCTAGTTAATGTGTGTTCTCACTGGGTCAGTCCGTCCAGCTGTAATTCAGTTTTATGCATGAGTTTTTGTGTGTGTGTGCGGTTACTGTTATAAGATTTTAAGCTGATGTTTTGTCTTGCCCCTGCAGACTTCAAGTTTGCCATGTATCCACCGTCAATGATTGCAACTGGAAGTGTGGGGGCAGCAATTTGTGGACTTCAGCTTGATATTGTGGACAGTTCACTCTCCAGTGATAACCTGACAGACCTCCTGGCCAAGATTACACACACAGATGTGGTGAGTATCCTGTTTCGCCCACCGTTCAAAGGCACTGAGAGAGATGCTAATTGATATCTTGCCCATGAACGTGTTCGATGACGGATCAGGAAAAATGGTCGTGTGGGCAGGTTAACTTATCGCTGCTCAAGGGAAGTTAAAACACCCAGAAAAGAATAGTTTATAAGGTGCTTGTGGATATGGTTCCTTTTTAGAAAATCTGAGCGGGTGACACATTACATTTTTTGTACTCTAAAATCTGAAGGGAGAAAAGGAGGTTCATGTACATCAATGCACTGTGTGGCTTGAACAATTTCAAACAAAGGTGATATTTTGGGATGCAGAATAGATTGCTTCAAAGTAAATCTTTTTTTATTTCGGCCGAGAAAGGTTTTAAGGCGTCATTTTGTACAAACTTGCACAAAAACATCAGTCTCTAACCACTGATGTCTTTGTACGCATTCGGTAGTGTTCTTCAGTGTGCGTGTGAAGATTTTGTTTGTGCTTAGGACGTGTGAAAAGACAGGGCAAGTCGAAAGTGTTCGATTTAAGAGAAAAAAAAGAAGCGTGTATGCAAGCGAAGGTATAGACAATGCGGTGCTTAATGACTCCTTCCAACTGTTCGGTCTCCCATCAATGCCTAATTGTGATCAGTAACCCGGGGGACGTGACGTGGATGCAGTTGGTGAGATCGTGCACAGTGCAGCTGGAATGCCAGCATGGAATGATGTAGTCATTGTGCTTAAGAGAGATTTCGAATCCTTAAAAGGTGTTGAATCGATACTAGGAGGTTTAATACTGCTCTTTGTAATCCAATAGACGTCCATTTATTACATGGACCAACCACCATGGGTAAGGTTTTATTTACAGTTTTAACCAGATGCCCCTGATATCCTTTCAAGTCAATTGTTGATTCAGCCACTTGTATTTACAAATTAACAGCTGATCGGCCTCTGTTGAGATCAAATGTTCAATATTCAGGATCTGCATCGTAGTTTTGTGCATTATCAATTTGTGCTGAACCTCTGTTTTGTACACGAACTGTTTATTGGAAGTGTGTGCGCGTTCAACAGATAATGCACAAAGGATGGCTGACATTCAACTTATTACTTCACCAGACAAGTCCATTGAGAAAAGGGAAAGTAAGAGAATCAAAAATACATTTTTAGAATGTCGAATCTTTTAGACATGATTTCAATAAGGCACCCATTACTTTTAAATGTTAGGTATTTACTTCAGCATAAAACTCCTTTTTTTTTTATGTGCACATGTTACATCAGATTGTAGAATTATTTCCTCTGACGGTGCGTAAATAATGCTAGTTGTTATTTGGTCCCAAAATAGATTGTCACGGAGCGTTTGTGTCATACTTATTTATGCAGTCCTAGTTCTACTTTATAATTGTCACCCAAGTCTTACCTTGTGCCACTTTCATAAGTCAAACTAATGGGGACAGTAAACTGAAACAACAACACATTACATTTGTGTAGTGCCTTTCACGTCGGGAGGACGTCACAAGGCACTGAAAAGGATAACTCATAATTCATAACACGTGGACACGGTTTGTTCATTTCATATCAGAGTTGCAGTTGTTTACACAAGCCAAGTGGATACATGGAATGCAAAGGAGCTGATATTATATGATTGAAGTTTGTAGGATAAGAACTTTGGCTGCTGAAAAGGATTTAAACCTTAAAAAGTTTACAGTGCCCAGTTTTCGTTGCTTCTCAGAAAAAAGTGAATAAAAAATCAGAATAAAGTATACAACATGCTTTTAAAACTTGATGCAATTGATCAAAAAAAAGGCAGAATGCAGTAACGTTTTCCATCTCGAAGAACTTGGTTGCGTACGTGGATTAAAATGTCATCACCTCCCTCCACTTCGAAATCCAAATCCTACCAACAGGGCAACGCGATGCTTTTTTCCGGCGAGCAAATGAAACATTTATCCACTCTTTGTGGTGCTTAATGCTTGTGGTTTGGAAGCATATGACAGGACTTGCTCCCTCATCCTGCTTTATTTGTTGCAGGCTGTGCTTAGTATGCAAGGAAACAGCAGCCAGGATTGACTGAAGTGAATGGAAGAATGATATCGTTTCCTAGTTGTCTTTGCTTGAGTTGGCAGTCGTCACCATTCATTCAGCTTCTCAATCTCCTAAGTGCTGTGCGTGTAGAGTAACAGGAGGCTGATGCAGCTATGGTGCTCGATAATAGTGGTATTCCATTAGACCCCATTCAGAAGGAAAAGCAGGGTGTAGCAAGCCTGACTCCGTGCCAGGCAGCTTATAAAACAAAGAAAATGGAATCCTAAAAGTATTTGCAAGGCTTGTTGCAAAGTATCCTCGAGCTTTTGAGGACTGAAGTTACCTCAGTTACGTTTTAAACGTTGCGTTAATTGATGCCTTCGCAACGTACACTATTTGAGAAGTATGAGACGTGCCTTTAATGGTATTCTCGGTTGCGGCGTTGCCATAATTGTGTACTTTTATTACAGCTAAAGAATTTAAATGACATGTTTTTACACATCCTGTGGAATTTGGGCCTTAAATAAAATGTGTCACGCAAATTAAAAACAGCATAATTCTTTTGTAGCCTCGCGGGGTTGTTCCTTGTGGTCAGGTGGCCAAATCACTTGTATAATACAGTTGAGTGCGTGCTCCGATTGATTTCACCTGGAAAGAGTATTGCACTAAGCGTAAAGCCTTATTCAGTGAAACCAATGTTGCCCGCATGATCTTACCGAGGTTGAAACATTGACATTCTCTCAGGGGTAGCTTTTGTTTTAATCAAAAACTCTTTTCTGTTTTAATTCTCCTGGTATTACTTCTGAATTCCTCGGCCTGCATTCTACCCTCTGCCCACTCACTCACTTATCAGGAATTAGTATAGTCCCCATGTTTTAGAGTTGCTAGGGAAGAATGGCATGTTCTACAGCCAAAGTCTTAATTTCCTGTGTTCCTTTGATCCCACTAATTTGAAGCAGTAGAACAGCTCAGGTAGATCCGACAGGCTGCTGATTTATACTCGTGCTCCCATATGCTTATATATTGCATTCCATATGCTTGATACTGATCCTTTTTTTTTTTGCCTTGCAGAACTCGGCTTGTTAATCAGTTTTGGTTTGCTTTTAGTTTGAGATCTCGATGACGTGAAGTATATTTTTGCATTCGTGCTCTGTAAAGAGAGAGAGCACCTTAGAATCGTTAACAAATAGAAATGTTTATAGCTAATTTAGCCACAGATAACGATCAATGGAATGTTTCAAAGAAGCTCGTTCGAGGCAGATGTGCATTCACTTCGAGCTGAACACGAGTTTAAAAATTGTCGGAAAAATCCAGAGAGGTGATGATTGTTAGGTTTGCCGAGCCTCAGAAAATCACCTTAAAAGATGTTAACTGCCCAGAACTTTAATATCTCCTGAGCATTGATTATTTTCTCAACTAATTCTCTGGTGACAAGCCATAACCTGTTAAATACCGTGGCTCGTTTCCAAGGGGAATAAGCTCTAATGTGGGATTGGTTTGAACTCTGCTTCTGTAAAAACTTTCAAAGTTGATACCAAAAATCCGTATGCATGCATTCGGGGCCAGTTAGTGCAATGATACCTTTCAAAACTATTCCAGACTGCATTTTTGTGCTGGTATTGGGTCTCCCGGCTCCAGCTCGTGATACGGCTGAAAGTGAGCCATTGCTTTTGGTTGCAATGCAGCAGTGCCTCCCAACGGTTGACCGGTGGTATGACACCGGCATTCAACGTTCTGTTTCATTCTTGAATCTGATTATACTGCGCTCATCCTTTTATTTCCTACGATTTAAGGGTTCATTGATTGCTTGGAAAATGTGCTTCTGCGGTTGTCTTTTAGTACTTTGTTTTCTGCTTTTCGCATCCAATTGTTCTCTTATTATAACACGAGCTTCGCGTGCAACCAAAGGATCCAATATGGGAGGTAGACTGACTCACTTACTTATACTTGCAAGGTTTGATTTTCGCTTAGGCACCTTTATAATGATAAATAATTTATGATCACTGGGACGTCCTCCTGACGTGAAAGGCGCTTTAAAAATGTAATTTTGTTCTTGTTGCCGCGGCTTAGCTTTGTCTGTGTTCTTTATATTGTTCCCGCTGCCGCTTGGTTCATGGGTGCTCTGTGATGCAGGACACCACAGCACCACTGTCAGCCGGCCCGGCCACCGGGTGCAACTGCAGCGAGAAACACGAAATGGAAATACATGTTAGGTCATAACTCATGAACAATAGGAGATACCCAACAACAAATATGCCCATGTCACTCCCAGTTGCAAGCCCTTTCAGATGAGGTATAAATCATGTCTCTATGTCAATCGGTTATTGAGATCCTTCTTGAAGCGCAGACAAACAGATATTATCGTTTTATTAGCATAAAATATAGATAGAAGAAGATTAAATAGTTCATGTTTCGAATAGTTACAATTCTTGTGGTAATGTTCCCTTTAAATAATGTGTTTGAGTGTTGGGGAAAAATGTTCGGAGACTTTATTTGCTATGAAGAAGGGAATGCAAAGCTCGGGAAAAGTGAAGGAAAATAATAAAAGTGCAAGATGCCTTCTCTCTCTCTCTTTCACACACACACACACACACACACACAGCTGAATAAGTCAAATATTTCACGGTGTAATTTTTTGGGGTCAGCCGAGTACCTGTCACGTGCGGAAACCCATCATTTTGCTTCAGAGCATCCAAACCGAGAATTCCATGCATCCCACCTACACATGTAAATCCCAGAGATAGATAAGTTGTTGGAATGGAATGCACATTCACTCCCTGGAGGGAGGGATGCATCCCGCTTCCCTTAGATTCACAGTGTTAAAATAGTTTCAGTGTGATGCAGACATGTAAGCTCTTCAGCCTCGGATATTCATTTCTTTTCCCTCTCTTTAACAGGATTGCCTGAAAGCATGTCAGGAGCAGATTGAATCAGTGCTGGTTAGCAACCTGAGGCAGGTTCGACACCATCAAGGGCAGAGTGACCCTTCGAAGACGGTGGATGAACTGGATCAGGCCAGCACTCCCACAGACGTCAGAAATGTCAACCTGTGAGGGGATTGCGGTGCGGAAAGATCCTGCTTGCTCTTCTCTTTAGGAAGAAATCTTTTTCTTTCCTTCTAAAAAAAAAATGCTCCCACATAGAAACTATCTAAAGCTTCTTTTAGAAAAAAAAACCCTGATATTAAAAAAACTATGGTGCCTATGGTGTTCTGCAGAAGGGAATCCCACCTTATCTGTTTGCATAATTGCTGTTTTAATTATATTATCAGTGATGAACATGCTTTTAAAAAAAAGCATTAAAAAAATAGCTAGCTGAATGCAGGCCTGCATATGTGGGATCAAACTTTTAGGTATTACTGTTCTATGTTATGATGCATACACCCTTTTCAGATTTAAGAAAGGAAATGTGTGTGCGTTTTGTGGCTCGACTTAGATTGCAAAGCAATAGCCTGAGGGATTGGGGATGGTTGCTGGGAAATGTCTTTTTATTGAGTGAACCATTTTTGATACAGAAGAACTGTAACTGCCTTAACACATGTAAATGTTTCTCATCAGTTTGTTTGTTATGTGTCAAGCAACGCTTTAGATGTACCGTTTTGCCTTAAGTAATCAGTGTGTGTGTGTGTGTGTGTGTGTGTGTGGAAGGTTGCTTTCTTAATCAACTTTCATCTCCTCTCCTGTCTCTGTCTCACTCTCGCTACTTCCGAATGTACTTCTTGCTTTCTTATATGTGTGTATCCTCACTTTGATGTGTTCCTTACTGATTCCCTCCCCGATCCCGACGCCCAGCTCGGGTCCAAACCCCTGTCTGTCCAGCGCCTTGGAACGTTCTCCCGACATGAACGGTGCTATACAAATGTAATATTGTATTGTATTAACTTCCTTTATGTAACAATGTCAAGTTCCCTGTCCCTTGTTTACTCTCCCTGTATCTATGAGTTTGTCTCACTTACACTTTCTCTGTGTGTATGTCAGGCTTTCTGTCTGTCCGTCTCTCTTGGTTTCTCTCTCAATGTCTATCTGACTTGCTGGTTCCTCCTTCTTCTTCACAAATGGTTCATTCTGCTCACAGCAGCATTTTTAGCTCCAGGTAGAGCCTGAGTCTGTAACTGTGGGCCAAACCAGAGTGTTGAATGATTGCACCCAGGGAACTCCTGATCCGACTGCCAATCAGCTAATTACACTGCCATGGAACTCTGCATAGGAAGACGTAGAAAGGGTTGTTCGAGTTGGTGTAACCTTTCGGCCACGGTTGATGATCTTACACGGAGATCTCAGCCCTTTGACTCCCTAGTATTTTACGTGGTCAGAGCAGATGAAACAGAACGACTTCCTTCCACTTTTACAAATGTGCCTAAAGATAGAAAAAAATAACCTTTTACATACCTTTTTATCTGTATACATACATTGGTCCACAGTTAGCATTATTGTAAACCATTTCATTTGAAAAGCACTTTGAATATATTTCCCAAGGGATGAATGGGATGGTTTATGAAATTGATTCAAGTTTTTTTTTTGTTTCCCAGTATCTGGTGTATTATAAATAATTATGGTGTTGCTGGAAATAACAACGCCTTCGGTATAGAAGACATTCCAGTTTGGGTTGCAACATTCCACAGATGTTCAGTAACTTCACGTTATTTTCAGTGTCACAGAAGAAGGATCTTACGTGCCACAGGCGTGCAGAGCCGTGGACATTCCGATGAGAATCATGGCTTGCGCAAGGAGCGGCAAACATCATGGTTCACAACTTGTTGTTATTTGAGAAAAATTGTATTCGGTCTACTTGAATTTTTCTGCTCCATCGTTATGGCATAGATGGTAAAAGAGTTGGGGCGGTGTTTATTTGCACATGTTTTGATAACAGTCTGAAATTTGCAAAACGAAGCTATTGATCGAAACGTCGAAATTGGGATTTGCAAAAGGTTGGACTCGAGAAAGTATTTGGGGGGAGAAAATAGATTTTTTTTGTTGAGTTGACACAGGCTGACCTGGGTTGATGAGGGTAGAAAATGGAGTAAGAATCTTTATTTTGCGCTGCTATGAAGCTATGATTTGTTTCATTCTTATTCACATTAACAGTACTTGGCTGTATTGTTTCACTGAGTGTGCTGCTATTTTATAAACATTTTTATAATATATTATTTTACTGCTTAAGTTTCAGAATCCTGAAGTAGTGGGTAAATGAAAACATGAGTACATTGATTTACTGGAAATGCCCCTGTACAGTTTTTTTTTCCGATATAGTGTGTTCATGATTTTCTTCTTGTCACATTCTGCAAAGACAGCATAGTTACCTCAGGTTTACTGGACAATAAAATGGTTCCCATCCACAGTACCTCACAATATTACAGTTGTTTTTTGGGGGGAGCCTTGCAAACTTGGTTGGTATAAAAGCAATGGGGTTGGCAGCACAGTGCTTGTGTAGTGCTACTTCAGCTGCGCGATGCACAGGAAGGTTGCAAAGGCATACAGCTCCCTTCTGGGCTCAGTAACATTACCATGTACCTCATTCACTTTCAGATGCACAACTCTGTTCTTCAACTTTTTTTGCTTTAACGAGTGTGATGCCATATCAATACAATGTTATTCTCTCACATTGTGCTCTTAATATGTTGTGTGGTTCATATGGTTAGGAATGATTAGATAGCACGTCTAGTTTGAGTACAATGTGGAAAAAACTGTTGTGGGGGAGTATGTGATGTGGAGTTGATGGGTACAAGGCTGATGTAGTAGGTTTGTGAATAAATGTAAAAGGTCTTATTTGTTCATTTATGAAAAGGCTTTTTTTATTCAACTTAAAATGATGTTGATTGGATTGTAGATGGTAATACGAACTGTTGTGTGAAGGAAATAGGCATGCCTTATGGACAATAAAGTCACTTGGTCCTAAAGTGGTTTGTGTTTCTTTACCCTCAATTTTGTTCCTCTCTCTCGCTCCTTTTTCCTCACCCCTCCCTGAAAGCAACGATTGCAACGATTCCCTCAAATGTATAATTTTGTTCAATTCTGTTCTGTAAAATACTCACTGAAATACTCACTGTAAAATACTCACCGAATAGCAGAACACAAGTAAAAGTTGTATGCAGTCAATTCACTTTACCAGTATGTTCTGCAAAGCACTTTGAAATGTCTCCAAGACATAATAAGGCATTATAATAAATGCAAGGATTATTGTTATCTTTATGATGATAATGTTGATTATAGTACTTGGCAGTGTGGTACTTGTTAGTGACAATCGAATATTAGAATTTAATCGATCCCCTGTGGCAGTCTCGGTAGCCTAGATCCAGAGTCAGGTAAATCCACAGTACTCCCAAGGCGCTGTTGATGGCAGACCAGCGAGCCTACCTCATCAGCAGGAGTTGGAGGTTGGAAGAGCAGACTAGTTGTTGATCGGCTCCTGTTAATCCTGCAAACTAAAACCATAATAGATATGGTCCAAGCTGGACAAGCAACGGGAAGCTTTCCAGGAAGAGTTCATAATACCAAGCTGAGCTAAGTTAGTTACCTCCAGCAGTTTCTGAACACTTACCCATAATTTTCCCTTTGTTATATCAGTCAAATGCTCTCACCAATTCCCCTATTGAAAATCTCTTGTTTTCCCCCCTTTTATTTATTTTAATAATCTTTCCAGTATGTTGCCTCCAAACTTATTAACATGGTGGGGTCTAAAATGCAATGTTTCTTTATAAGGAATTTGAGTCACACAAATAGATAAGCAAACAGCGAGGAGCTGTGATGTAATTAATTACTGTGAAATTGCTGTGCATCAATAAGAATTTTAACAGTATTACTAATTAAGAAATTAAAATGCTATATTTTGGACAGCACTGCGTCCAGTTTTAGTTAGTTTAAATTACAAATGGAAACATTTGAGAAGTTATCTTTTTAAGGCCTCCATCATCAACAGAGTAACCAAAACATCAACAGCAGCTCCAATTCATGTTCTATTGACTCTCACTATTTCCTTAAGCTACTTCTCACTCTCTGTGCTTCAGAATGTGCAGATTTGATGTGAGAAATGCCCAAACCAAGTTTGTTGTGCTACAAAATTCAGTTTGCAAGAAAAACAAATTTGCATTGGAATTTCCAACCCTAAAAACAAATATTTTGATAGCCCGAATCACTACTTTTCTGTATTTTGTGCTTTTCATAAAATCCTACTGCCAGATCAACAGATTTATTTTTGTTTGTTTCATACTGTAAGATCGAGTGTTAGTAAATACCACTGGAAGTAATCCTAAACATGTGTGAAATGTTTTTAAGGTGGCTGACTATATTTAACCTCTGATTCATTTATTGGCTGTAATTTGGATCAGTTAAATTAGAGCAATGTCAATGACATTTCTTATATAACTAATCTATATTAGATTCCCACTTTATTACTTCTGTTCAGTTTATGTGAATAACTATAACAATAATCTTTGCCATTGATATTGCACCTTATCGGGTCAAAAAGTTTCAAAGAGTTTTCAAGTGAACACAGCAGCAAACTGCCAGGAGGTAAATGACCGATTTTATCTAGAAGATTGTTGGCCTGGACAATGGCAGAAACTCCCTTTCTATTCTTGAGTGAAGTCATGCATTCTGTAACATTCACTTGGGTCCTTGATTTAACATCTTATCAGAGGGACAGCACCTCCAAGAACACAGCACTCACCAACATTAACTGGAATGTCAGCCTACAGTTTCAAAGTCCCCCACACAAGACTTGAACCCATAGGATTTGGATCCAGAGGCATGAATATCAGCAAGATGACACCTGAATAGTGACACCGCCCCAATAAAAGGACAACACCTGTTATGTGGTGCTGTAGCCTGGTTTATTTACATCATTACAACCTGTAAAATGTGATGTGTTTGACTAGGTTTTGTTGATAAGTAAACAAGCGGGTTTTGACTACCCATAAACCAGCTTGGCTTTAACAAATCATATTTATGTTTTTTAAAACAAATATATTTATTAGTATAAAAAATAAATTCCACTTTCCTCATGAAAAAAAACACACCACACCCATGAGTGAAAAAGACACAAACTGCTTTAACCCAGTTATAATCCACAATGGCCCTGTGTTTTTTTTTAACAAATATATTTATTGGTGTAAGAGATATCTTGTAATATAATACATATATTGGGACATCTTTCCAACGTGATGGGTGTTCGCTATACAAGTATAATTTGTTGATGTATATTATAATACTACAAATAATAATAATTCTTACATTTGATATAGTGCCTTATTAGGTATTATATATTAGATTATATATTATACTACTTGTTTTACATATTATATTATAATATATAATACAACCAGTAGCTTATCACAAAGTCACAGCAAGCGATTAGCTGATCATTTATCTAAGTATGCAATATATATATATATATAAAGTAGAGAGTCAATTTACTTTACAGTATATTCTGTGAAGCGCTTTGGGACGTTTCGAAGATGTGATAAGGCGCTATGTCAAATGCAAGGATTATTATGCTAAAGTTTGCCGGAGAAGGTATCACATGCAATATATTCTGTGAATACATTCTGTGATGCAAGGATTATTAATATAAATAACCAGGAGCTTATCAGTAAAGCAATAGGAGGTGATCACATACAATAGAGAGACACACACACAGAAGGGGGGGTTTAAATTGCGCGCCGAAGGGGGGCGGGTGGCTTGTGATTGGTGGGTGTGGGTGGCGGACTGACCTATCACAGGGCGCGGCTGGGGAAGTGACGTCAGTGACCCCCGCCCCGCCCCCCCCCCCCCGCACCCTCACCACGTGACTGCAGCTCTCGGCGCCATGAGGTTCAGCCTCTTCCTCGTCCGTCAGTGAGTCACCGTTAATGGCGGGTCCCGGGCGCTCGAGCCGCCGTTTGAACCGGGCGCCGGTTGTTGGTCCCGGTCCCCGGCCTCTCGCTGCTCCTCCCCCGGCCCGAGGCCCCGGGCCCTGGGCTCCCCCAACCCCCCACAGGCCAAGGCCCGGGTCCGGCCCCTCCCCCCTCCCCCCCGCCTCTGCTCTTCCCTTCTCAAGGGGTTACTATGGTGATTTATTGCCTGTGTTTGTGTGTGTAGTGTGTGTGTTTGTTGTGTGTGTGTTGTGTTTGTTGTGTGTTTGTGTGTGTGTTGTGTTTGTGTGTGTGTTTGTGTGTTTGTGTGTGTGTTTGTGTGTGTGTTGTGTGTGTGTGTGTTTGTTGTGTGTTTGTGTGTGTGTTGTGTGTGTTGTGTGTGTGTGTGTTTGTGTGTGTGTTTGTGTGTTGTGTTTGTGTGTGTGTTTGTGTGTTGTTTGTGTGTTGTGTTTGTGTGTGTGTTGTGTTGTGTGTGTTTGTTGTGTGTTTGTGTGTGTGTTTGTTGTGTGTTGTGTTTGTTGTGTGTGTGTTTGTTGTGTGTGTGTTTGTGTGTGTGTTTGTTGTGTGTGTGTTTGTGTGTGTTTGTGTTGTGTGTTTGTGTGTGTGTTTGTTGTGTGTGTGTTTGTGTGTGTGTTTGTTGTGTTGTGTTTGTGTGTGTGTTTGTTGTGTGTTTGTGTGTGTGTTTGTATGTGTGTTTGTTGTGTGTTGTGTTTGTGTGTGTGTTTGTGTGTGTTTGTTGTGTGTTTGTTGTGTGTTTGTGTGTGTGTTTGTCTGCCGCACCCGGAAACCCATCGCGGCGCTCCTAACGAGCCTTGCGTTCGATCCAGCGCTTTATCCCGTCTTCGAGACGTGTCGGAGCGCTTCACAGGACACGCCGTAAAGTGAAGCGACTGTGTATTTATTGTGGGTGAAGCACGGCAGCCAATTGCGCACAGCGCGGTTGCAGTCTCCAGACCTAACTGGGAATTCCATGCGTCTCACCTTACACTCTGGAAATCCCGGAGATAGATTGTCGGAATGGAATGCTCTCGCTCTCTCTCTTTCCCGGGCGGCAGGCGTCCTAATGCCGGAAAGTATGAGGCGCGGGTTGGCAAGAGTCAAGGCTTGGGGTGGGTGTGGGGTGCCCCAGCGTGTTCTGGAGTCTAACCGGCTTAAACCCCATTGCTAGCGCTGTCTGGCAAGCTTTCTCGCCGCTTGTCCGGCCGGGACCCGCCCTACCCCGTTTAGGCTTTTTTGTTTAATTTTTTTTATTTATCGACTTCAAGATCCTCACACCCGCGTTCAATCCCTTCACTCCCTGGCACCTCCCTGGCACCTCTCCGACCTCCTCACTCCCCAATCCACCACCCGGCCGGCACCTCCGCTCGACTGGCACCGACCGGCCTCCTGCTCGTCCCTCGCTCCCTCCGCCCCACCATCGGAGGTCACTCTTTCAGCCACTACGCCCTTAACCTCTGGAACACTCTCCCTGAATCCCTCCGGCTTGCCCCGTCTCTCCCCTCTTTCAAGTCCCACCTGAAAATCTTCCTCTTCGACTGTCCTTACGGCCACCTCCTCCCCCCCCCCCCCCCGCTCAGTGCTCTGAAAAGCTACCCTGCGTGGAGGGTGCGATATAAGTGCAAGTTGTTGTGTGTGTAGCTTGTCTTTGCTGATCCTGCCCTTAGGGGAGAGTCTCAGGTACCTGGTACAGACAGGTTGGATGAATATTCTAAAGGTTTTGGTTGATTTAGTTTTGATCGTTCAAGGTGTATCTAAACAACATCCTGGGTGAAATGTCAAGTTCGCCTACAAAATGCAGTCACTACACTTTACAGTGAAGATTGTGAAGCGCTTTGAGATGTCTTGCCAACCTGTTGAGCCAATCGAAGCGATGTCAATTGCAAGGATTTGCTGGCGCCGAGCATTTGTAATCAATATTATACATAGCAGAAGATTAAAACGACGAATTAAACAAAAAAGTTTGCTGTAGAGTTCACCTGCACTTGTCATTCTAGCAGTGTAACTGCTTCTAAGTGTTATGGCACTGTACTTACATGAAGGTTGATGCGGAACAGGATTACACTTATGCAGGCATATCGAGCTTTGATGATTTTGCATTTTTTTTAAAAAAAATGTAACTTGTTTTGGAGCCATAGTGAATTATTTGGAGGTAAAATCAAAGAAAGTGTTATATTAACTTCAAAGAGGACACAAAGTTTCTTTCCAATTCTTATTTGTACGTAACAGTCCAGTCCAGACCATAGGAACCATTAAGATCTAAAGCCATAATACTTTGTGTCTGAAACCAACCTGCCCTGTCTCTTAAAAGGGCAATTATGGACTTTAGGAATATGTCAGCCCACAGAACAATCACAAAATAAAATCTGTGACAATGTTGAATATTAAAATAAATATTCAGACAAAAATAGATAACAAAATGATAATAATAATCCTTGCATTTAATATAGTGCATTATCACATCTTCGAGACATCTCAAAGCGCTTCACAGAATATACTGGAAAAAAAGTGAGTTAATTTTTGTGGGTGAAACATATGTATGGCATGGAAAAGGCAAGAAAGCATTGTGATACATTCACGCTGTATTTTTCCCCATATAATAACATCTTTGAATACTAGTAATAATTAACCCTAAGTCAATGACAGGAATCCTTAATAGTTCAGTTAAATTGATTTGAATAAACCCGAATGACGCTTTTTAATTGGTGTGTTTAATCTTTCAATTTTCTCGTATCTTCACAGTCACTGTACTAATAGATTTGTCATTGTCTTTGATGGACTTAAAATTAAATGCTTGTAAATCTTGTACTTTGAGATGCAGAATAGTTTTTGTACATGTATGATTTATTTTAACCTAATGATGTTTAATTTATTTTAGTGGTGAAACAAAATACAACAAAGCAAAACTTCTTCAAGGTAAGCTTTTTGATTTAAGAAAGTTCTGCTTTATCTGCTATTGGAAATATCTCCAGTTGATTTCTAATTGTAACGTGTGGATTTTATCTCAGACCAATCCTGTGCACACATAACTGATTTTAAAAAAGCCTTTTTTTCACCTTTGCTGAGGATACAACTACCGCTTTTCAAACTTTTCCTGCACTTTTTTCCATCACGTAGAATCCTTAGAAAAATAGTCTATTCCATAGTTTTCTGCTGACGCCACTGAAGCCGGATGCAAGGAGTTGTGCCTTTTTTGAGTGACTTATTTTTCCTTCAGCCATTTGACAAAGTACCTGACATATGTGCTTTCCTTTGACTGCAAGCCTATATCCTATCACTGTCCTATTCAGCACTGCTTCCCCAATGTTTCTGACAATACTCTTGTAAATTCTAGATGGATAAATGCATTTGTAGTGTTGTACTGAGTTATGCAGGCAAGGAGGGATTCAAATTCAATCGGAAACTTGCATCACACTTAAACAAGATGCTAAAGATTGTGAGTTTGAGGGTTAAGGTTGGATCGTTCCTGGAGGCTCAGAGGAAACTGTGACCCTATCATATGTTAACTGAAAAAAAATGAATAACACAAATTGAGAAAAAATGCAGATACGCTATTGTGCACAAGAGAATTGTACAGTAGATATCACATACCAGATTGTCACTATATTTATGCTTGTATACATAAATATCTTGTATATACATACCTCCCTCCCAATCCCAACAACCAGCTCGGGTGCAGATCACTGACTGTCCAGCGCCTTGGGATGTCCTCCTGACATGAAAGGCGCTGTACGCATATAATTTGTTGTTGTTGTTTGTCTCACACTGCTGTTTAAATAATGTAATTAAGAAAACATGCTTGTAATATTGCCAATCTATGTTCCTGACTAGGGCAGGGAGTGGACGAACCACTGTCTGATACTGGCTTTAAACAAGCAGAGGCTGCAGGCAAATGTCTCAGCGACGCAAAATTCACCCATGTTTTCTCAAGTGATTTGCAGCGTGCTAAACAGGTGGGTTTCATTCCTATTCAATTGGTTTTGATCAGTGACCAAAGATCAAAGGGATTCAGTTCCAAAAGCTAGGTCAGTTATATGTACATAGATTAAATTAAAATGGGGCCAAATATTTAATTGTATTTACAGTGAAAGCAACCAAGTTTATGTATGTTTTGTATTTAGCATTTAATAATTGTTATAGTTAGAAAGTAATGATTATTGAATTATTTGATGATTCTTTTTATTTCAGACTGCTTCTACTATTCTACTGAAAAATAATCATGGAAGTGACCTCGAATTGATTCTTGACCAGAGACTCCGAGAGAGAGTAAGTTTCGAGGTGTATAAAGCTAACAAAAGAGTTTTGAAAAAGAAAAATCCTTAAACATTTTAACCAATGTAGTTTTATTTGTTTTATGTAACAGATTGTACTCAACTTTAACAGGTTGTACTCAACTTGCATCATGTTCAGTTTCTATATTTTTCACAGAACTATGGAATTGCAGAAGGAAAGCCACTGAGTGATTTAAGGGCAATGGCAAAAGCTGCAGGACAGAAGTGTCCTTATTTTACACCACCAGGAGCAGAGACTGTGGAGGAAGTAAGTTATTTGTTACATGTTCTACCTACCTGTCTTGGAATATGTCGTGTAATTCACTAAACCCTAGAAATTTGGAGTTATTGAATTAGCTCACTCATATTGTTGGATTCAATAATATCTTATACAATTCCTTGGTATTTTTATGTACACAAGAAGCAACACTTTCTTATTTAGAGATAGTAACTCTTTTTGACTACTGAAATTTCTACTTTAAAAAGTAGAACTTTAAAAAGAAGCGTTTTCTATTGCATAACCACCCAAATGAACTCTAGAAATGTGAAATATTATGCATTTACAGTATTCTAATCAAACTACAATGTTTCACAATTATTGGTGATTTCCATTGTACTCTACTACACACATATGTATATGTCTGTGTATGTGTTTGCATTGGATTTGTTGAGCAATAAAATAAATTCTGTTCTAAATGAGGACTATCGTATTTCATATATCGGGCTGATTGGGAAATGTTGTGTTTTGTTTTTCAGGTACAGGCCCGAGCTAAGGAATTTTTTAATTTTCTGTGTGAGTTTGTTGTAAAAACTGCAAAGAAAAATGTTGTTGGAGTAGATCAGCTGAGTACAACTGCCAGCTGTTTGGGAGACTCACAGAGTGACCATGTTTCAGACTCCATTGGCTGTTCTACAAATTTAGATTGTTCAAATCCTCCTGACTGTCTGGAAGCGAATATACTAATAGTTAGTCATGGTGGATATATGATGCAGTGGGTTAGATATTTCCTGGAGGATCTAAAATGTTCACTATTACAGCCTTCCGACCCTATCAAAGCACTTTCTGTGAGTCCAAATACGGGAATAAGTAATTTCATAATTTCTCTTAATCTACTGGATAAACCTCAGGTTGAATGCCTTTACCTAAATAAAAGTAGTCACCTTGTTGACATCAGTACTTCACAGGAAGTATTAGTTGTCTGAATCAATGCTACTAATCTTTGCCATCTGTAAGTATTTTCTGTTATACTCATTTGCTTGTTTAAAATCCATTTAATTAACTTCAGTGATGAAGATAAGGGCATATTGTAGATTATAACTAGTCTGCCATATGTCTGGACCTACAGTCCAATATAAGGAAAAGTGCACTGAGAAAAATGTGAGTTCTTTGGAAAAATATTTTTTTGCTACCTGCCTATAGAAATATCTTTAATGCACAAGATTATGAGTAATAAATAGACATGTGATGTCCTCACTGAAAGGATGTAAAACTTGAAGGTGATATGATTCACTCAGTCAGACAAAATGGGTTGAAATGTGCAGAAAATTTTAATTTATAAATATTGTAGCTAATGATGCAGCTGCAAATCTTGCAGGGAAAAAACTTATTCTGGCCTTCATTCTAGATATTTTAGGAAGCATATTAATATGCATTTAGTTAAGATTTGAAAACTATCTTCAGAGGTTTGTCATTAATGAGTAGAGATTTTAAATGTATGTTTGTAGGTTTGGGGCAAATCTCTGAAACTCATGTACTGTATTTAAATGTTTGTCTTGTGTTGCAAACACCTTAAGGGATGTTAACTTGTACTTATTTATTTAAATACTTATTTAAAATATGCTCAGATCACATATGCTGTAATGAGAATGACCCATTGGTGCAATGCATGGATTGATGTATGCTGCAGTAGGAATCAGAATAAATACATTACTGAAATTCAAAGTAAAATGGATTTTTATTCAAATAAACTTATACTGATTATGCAAAGGAAAATCCCTATTAAGGGCAGAAAATATTTTGCTCTGATTTAATGAAGTGCGCTCAAAAGAGTTTGGAGATTTCGGTCAACGTCAGTTTAATTTCAATGGTGGACTGAATACAGTGCACAAAATACGGCAGATGCTGGAAATCTGAAAACAAAAACAGAAGTCGCTGGGAACACTCAGCCGGTCAGGCAGCATCTATGGAGAAAGGAAAGTGAGTCAACATTTCGGGAACACCCCTTGAGTTCTAACGAAAGGTCATGGACCCGAAACGATAAAGACAAACTGAATGCAGAGCACAGTTGACCTTATTACTGAGATGGCAACAAAGAGGTTCTGCTGTATAACTTGGCTCAATGTCTTTAGCCAAGTTAAGCGCTCCGGGACGCTACCCAGTATGAAGAGTTTGTGTTTCGTTATTTTCACCATTCCTGATCTTCGCTGCATGGCTAAACATTTGGCAAGATTCCTTACTCCACACGCCTCTGTTTACCTAGCAGTAAGTAGGAACCCGGTTGATAGTTGGTTGGCGGATCAATTTTCTGGGGGTAATAATCCATTCAAAAAAAATAACAAAGTCACTCAATCCACGACTGTTTGTAGTACACTGCTGTGAGCAATTGGCTGCTGCATTTCACTCACACATATACAGTCAATTAATTCACTTTACTGTATATTCTGTGAAACTGAGATGTCTCGAAGACATGATAAGGCGCTATATCAAATGCAAGTTTTTTTAATTGTATTGTAGTTTGTGGAGAAGCAGTTCAGGACTGCAGGAAAATCCCTGAGCTGCTCTTGTGCATCCTCTCCTGGGCAGTTTCCAAAAGGGCATTACAACAATTTGATGCTTTTTCTCTCTCGTGCCTCTTATTGTACGTTGACCAATTATGCGGTCACTGTTTTTGAAGGCAGACAAGATGCAGCAAGGCAAAGCGGCTTTGGAAGAATATTCCAGGGGAATAACAACAGCAGTAAATTAATTCCTGAAATTGTTCCAGTGAGCTCCTTTTGAGGTTCGAGCTTCCAGCAGGAAGACTTCTCTGCACATATTTGGTGGGGACGGCAGGTGGCAGCAAAGCACAAAGACTAAACTCCAGTAAGGGCAATAATCATTGATCCGTAGAGGAGACAAAATGATTCTATCATCACTACTTGAGATTTCTAAAGGAAAAAAAACACGTTCTGGCTGAGCAAATTATCATTTTTTTCCTTCCCTTACTACAATGTTACAATCGTCATGCTGCTGTCATAAGTGGTGTTCACAATTACTTATTTCTGATGGGGAGATGACTAGAGATGTCCGTGGTTCCTAATGTTTTGGAGAACATATTTCATAATATTTGCTGAAAATATTTAACTATGTGACCAGGTGAATTATAAGTTGCCTTCAGGAAGATTATGGTCAATTAAACTGATGGGCCAAAGGATGGCAGATGGAATCCTACTTAAATAAATATAAGGTAATGTATATCGAAACAAGAAGCAGCTCACACATGCCTACAATGAAGAGGTCTTGATTACCAGATGGAGAAGGAAAAGGCTTTGTGTTATTACTGATCATTCATTGACTGATGTCAGACAATGTGAAGCTGTTTTCAATAAAGTTGATCAAATTCTGAGTGCTGTTTTGATGCCATTTGGACTAAATTCAATTAAAGAAATCTAATTTGTCAGGTAACGGCAGAGCACCTGATCTATTAGAGGGCTGATTAACATTAGTAAAAACTGGATGGCTATAATGTGAATGGGGAGCAAGACCTCCACTTCTTTATGTGGAGTTTCATGACATTGGAACTGCTGGTCGACGGTAAGATCTGAAACTTTCTGAAGGAACTATGTGACAGTTTCTTGAAATGGTATGTCTACTATTTATCAGTTACTATTCAGGTGAGCAAATCAGTACAGTAATGTGGCTCTGAAAGGCAGTGAGCAAGGCTGGGAATAGTTTTATGCTGGATATATAATCTGCTGGTGTCATTTCAAAACTCTATCTGATAAATGTTACTTTCACCATTGTATAGTTTCTGCTTGAGGATATTGAGTGGTGTTTGAGTCGTTAGTTAATTTTGCCTTTTGTCAGTAAAATTTTTCCAAGTGCCTTCCATTGCTGTATTTGACGTTGGCTAATGATGTTTGACTTTGATATATTTAATTCCACTACTGTTAATAAAAATAGATGTTATTTCTGATAGAATTGTAGCGCTTCTGTTTGCAGGTGAAATTGTATTGTTGGCAGACTCGCCTCGGGATCGAAAGCATTGCACTCAATATTTACAAAGTGTGAAATGATGCCAGGTGCCCATAAGTTTGGTATTATGGTCCGCAAAGGAGATCTTGAATGGATAAAATACAAGGGGTATCCATTTCAATGGTTTTTTTATTGGTGTCTGGGAGTTATAGAAGATACTAATGTTTGCTTGTAGCCTGCCCTTCGGGATCTCTTTGGAAAGACAAAGGGCACTCTGGTCGTTCTTGTCTGTCTTCAGTGAAAGTCCAAATGCAGGTTAAATTTGTTGCGTCCAAATGTGACCAAATGGTTCCCCTTCATATCTCTGAGCTGACTCGACCTCACTTTGACCACCCTGGGACATCCTCCCAAAGTGAGAGGTGCTATATAAATACAACTTGTTGTCGTTATGGAATTTCCTGACTAAACATGTACATTAAACCTACGATCACTTTCTATATCAGTTTGCTTCTATCACTTGTTTGGAATAATGAAACAACAACAACAAAATTCCATTTATAGAGCGCCTTTCACGTTGGGAGGACGTCCCAAGGCACTGTACAGTTGGGTCAGGACCTGAGGATTGGGGGAAATGGTCAGGGTGAGGGGAGGGAAGGGAGGGAGCGAGGAGGGGGTAGAGAGTCGAGAGGGGAGCTGAAGGCACGGTCACAGAGAAAGGTCTTGAGAACGGCCTTGAAGGAGGAAAGGGAGGAGGCGGCGAAGGCACTAGGGGATAGAGTTCCAGAGCCTCGGGGCGAGTTCCAGAAAGTAAATGTGATGGACTTTTTTTATCTCTATTTTTCAAAATATGTAATATAACTGCTGGAAGTATTACACGCTTGGATAAAAATAATCTCTTATGACCATATGATGTAATATGTTAGTTTTGTCATTTTTGATACACAATGCCGTATACCACAACCAAAATTTATTCTCCTAAAGAATAATAATAATAATAATAATAATAATCCTTGCATTTGATATAGCGCTTTTCACGTCGGGAGGACGTCCCAAAGCGCTTCGAGGTTATATAATAAATAAATTCAAGGTCGCAGAAAAGGTATTTCCCACAATTTTCCCACAAGTAATTTTAATGTTTTCAATTTTGAGATGTTGGTTGATCTTGGTATGCTACGGATAGTCTGCTTTTTCTATGCTTGGATGAAGAGTATCCACATTCACGTTATGCATCCTTCACCCAGATATACCCATAAATTTGAGCATTCAAGCTTCTCATCAAGACTTTGAGCTTATAGTCTAGTTTTCACGTGTGCTGCACTATCAGAGCTGTCATCCTCTGGATGAGACATTAAATCGAGGTTCCATCTATCTATTCAGATGGATAATTTAAAGACCTTCTGCGACTACTCAAAGAGAGAGAGGAGTTTCTGCCGGTGTCACGGCCAACAGTATCCCAAATAAAATTGGTCATATTCTTCATGGTTGTTTGTGGGACCCTTGCTGTGTGTAAATTGGTTGCCAAAAATATGCCAACGCACATTCTTTGAATAATCTAAATTTCATCCAGGTTGTCCAACATCTAGCCATGTTGACATTACTACTTTTGGATACAATGCTTTAAGGACTTAGTCCTGTAGCTCAGTGGTTAGAGCACTCGCTTTGCAAGTGAGAGACCTGAGTTCAATTCCAGGCAGAGGGCGAAACCTTGGGCAAGTTTCCTTACTCCACACAGAGCCTAATAATAATCCCTCCAAAACCAATAATAAATTGGTCATTTTCAATCTACGACTGTTTGTGGGACATTGCTGTGCGCAATTGGCTGCCGCGTTCGCCCACAAATATACAGTCAATTCATTTTCCAGTGTGTTCTGTGAAGCGCTTTGGGACGTCCTCCCGACGTGAAAAGCGCTATATCAATTGCAAGGATTATTATTATTATAAGGACTTGCCCTGCTAACTAATTATTGAACTGAGTTGTAGTTTGGGGACCCCCCTGAGTGTGCACTGGAGTACTGCTGGAGTTCAAACAGCTAAAACTGCACAGCTTGCTATTGCAAGCACTTCCTGTAAAGCTTCTGGCCTCTTGCCCACCTAGGACCACCCTATTCGTTAGGAGTTTGTTTTTCAGAGTTATTGGGAGTTCAGTGAGAAGAGCAGACCCTTCAAGCAGAGGCAGCACCTTGGAATATCCTCCTGACGTGAAAGGCGCTGTACAAATGTAATTTTGTATTGTATCTGGTGAAAGTGGAAATATCTTTGAAATTCAGCACTTTTCATTGCCCATCTCAGCACATCATCACGGTAATAAAGACTGAGATGGCCTCACTATTTCGGCAAACCAATCAAGAAACATTTCTGTAAAAAAAATTCAACAAATTGACACCTGTTAACTACTGTATTTTTTGTTGCAAACTACTTGTGATACTTAAACAAATACTCAGTGGAAACCTTCGACACACTTGACAGAAGATGTCCATTTAATCATCATCTTTGGCCTAAGCAGAAAGGTATTTATTTGATGGATTGGCTCAGTTGTTTCTTAGTCAAAAGGTAAACACGCCAGCTTTTAGTTAACATTTCCATGCAGCTTTGGGGGAGTGAGAGGTGTGATCTTTCAGAAGAGTCATTGAACCACCGTACTGCCTGCTAGATATCAAATAAACAACAATAATTTGGTCACTCAATCCACGACTGTTTGTGGGACACTGCTGTGTACGACTGTCTGCTGCGTTTCACCCACAACATATACAGTCAATTCACTTTACAGTACACTAGGAAGCGCTTTGAGACGTCTCAAAGTCTTGATAAGGCGCTATATCAAATGCAAGGATTATTATTATATAACCCTCAGTTCCAGTCTGATGGAGCTGCTCTGGGTAATCACAGGATGAGTAGATTTATAATACTACCATATCCTCTGCAACCTTCCACCAATAATATGAGTAAAGCCTTTTTATTGCCAACTAGCTGATGATATGATGTTGAACAGGATATAACAGGTGTAGCAATATTGCACTTGCACTGCACTCCCCTCTCCATTTGCTCCTGTGTGGATCGCAGCACTGCACCACTGTTAGGTGCTCTGAGACGCTATCCTGCGTGGAAGGTGCTATATATGCACGTTGTTGTTGTTGTTGGATGTACTGTAAATTGTATTCTTTTAATCCACGGATACTAAGAGATATTGCAGTGTATGCATGTTTGGCTTTGGACCAGGAAGTGCATTCCTTTGTGTTTGCTCAATTACAATTTATTTGATTGTGATAATGATTTAATACCGTCAACATTTTTTATTGGAGCAGTTAACACAGACTGTTGGAAATCTGGGTTCCAGAACAAAGTGCAATCTGTATTTCTTATTGCATTCATACCTAAACCAGTTGTACAAAGCTTTTGAAGTAAAAAATATTTTTTTTCTAAAAAAGAACACAGAAAAAACTTATTTGTACATAAATATTATTATAAATACTTGAACCACAGCAATAATTTAAATAAATAGGAGATAAATTAGAGTAGGCGGTGCAAATTCACAGCTGAGAACAGACCAAACCAATATATTCTCAGAGCTAACGAGATAGAAGTCTTTCTCAACAGTGAAATGAAAAAGCAATTTACACCGCCTGTTCTTGATATTGTTGTGTTAATTCATTGTGTGTGCTTTAGATTTATTTTATATATTAAAAAATAGTTCTCTTGTAGCAGACTTGACCCTGGAGGTAGTGGAATCCACCAGATCTCACTTACATGGCTGTGAAATACATGAAATAAATAAGCAGGAGAGCAACAGTGCTTTTCTCTCTCTCTCTCTCTCTCTAAGTTGAGGATTATTTTCATTGGAGGTTTTTTTTGGGGGGTGGGGAGGGGGGAAAGAAAGTCTTTTTTTTTTAAAAAAAAGGTGGGTTCTCACTATCCTCTGCTCCTGGAGATTTTGGGGCTCTCTCTCTGAACAGATCGCATCCCAAAAGGGTCAGTGCTATCATCTTCTCTGTCGGGGGCTCTTCTGATGTAGGAGGACGTGATGGGCAAATGGTTCTCTCTGGGCAGAAACATGGAGAGTGGTGGCAATTCCCTGTTGGGGACGAAGGGACGTTTGTCCAAACTGAGGCTCAACACCTTCAGGTGTGTCAGAGAGTGGTACGCGTTATAAAAGGTCTGTAACAACTCCTCTTTAAAATTGCAGTCGTCCTCTCGATACGTCGTCTATTCAATCAGTCGAGGAGGGGGGGAGAGAGGAAAAAAAAAACACACACAGCATTAGGCACACATTTATCACAGGGGGGGAAGAGTTTAAAAAGCCAGAGGTTAAACACCAAATGTTAACCAGGTTTTTCTCTCGATGGTCCTGCTTTTTTTTTTAACTGTTATATTGATTTATTCCAAGGACTATCGTACAGAAGTGGCAGAATTGACAATACTATACTTAGAAGCGTTGTGCAATGAGATTCCCCCCCCCCCCCCCCCACCCCTCACCACCCCCCAAAAAAATAATTATTGCAATCCTTTCTAGAAGATAAAGTCAGATATTTACAGATCCCAATGCTCAAGTGCTGTAAAATGAGATTCTCTCTCCCCCCCACCCCACCCCCACAAGAAAAAAAAATAACTAATTATTTCTAGAAGAGTGGAGTCCAATACTTACAGATCCGAAAATGTTGCCTTGTGCATTCATACACAGGTACCTTCCCGTCCTGACACCTTTGATCACCACATGTCCTGGTTCCACCGCTCTTATCTCCAGCAAAGCTAAACCAGAGGGAATGGGAGGTATTAGGAAACTCTGGCACTCTCTGGGGGGGAAAAAAAACCCTTTAGGCTCCATATAGTATCCCTGTGATTATGGCTAAAACTTTAGAAGGCTTCAAAACTCTTGTGTGTGGCTTTCTGCCATTCGGGAAAGTTGGTTTAAGTTAAACCAAAGCCACTCAAATACTTTGTGACTTTAAGTGTGAATGAACTTTGTCACCCAATTGTGTCCAACAGTGGGTAAGTTACGAGTAAACTGACTGTAAACTCTTGAGTGCCACTGTCCAGTTAAAGTACAACATGAAATAAAACCTCTAAACGGTAACGTTCATCATTGGAAATTGGGTCAGTCACACATTTTAGTTGCACATAAGACTGTGGGACCAATGTTGAGGATTCAAGTTCATATTAGTGTAATAAGAAGTTACCAATGCACTATTAATAATCTTTGCATGTGATATAATTGCCCATTACAGTCTCGTAGCATTTCACAGAATATACTCTTAAAAGTGAATTGACAGTATAGGGCGAAAACAAGTTAATATCATCGTAATACTGGATTACTGGTACGAGTAAACGACAGCTTAACATTTAAGGTTTATTTTGCAGTAAGATTATGATGTGATCTCTCTAAAGTGTGGAGTAAATGGGTAAAACAGCTGTGAAATAGAGTCCAATAGAGCAAAATAGAGTGAAATAGAGTGAAATAGTGGCTCCAGTCCATCAGTTTTCTACATCTGTTTGGGATTGGCACTGTTCTGTGTTGTTTGACAAGTTCTCCAGAACATTGTGCGCGCGGTGTCACTTTTGCACACACCGCAGTGAGCAAACCGTGGGCAGAAAAGTAACATAAAGCCACACCAGGACCACGATTTTGTTTCGTTTTGTAAAAAAAAAAGGAGACACACACTTTAAACACCGAGCGCCGCAATCGCAAGTCCCAAATCTCTGCACAATTGAGAGTCCCCAAAAGTACAACCAATATAATCGCAGTGCGGAGCTGTGAGATGCAAAGACGTCTCTAATGATGATTATCATTATTATTATTATTATTATTATTTTTTTTCGCGAGGAGTGTCCTCCCCATCACCAGAGACTAACACCGCGGGTCTCACGGCCGAAGCGTCACACAGCGCAAAAGTGTAACGCGGGGGTTTCGCGCACTCACTGTAGACGTTTTGCGCGTTGGAGCCGTTCACTCTCCCGTCGGGGTTGATCTGCAGGTGTTTGCTGTCTCCCTCCGTGTACAGGTGTTTGAGTCGGATCTGGTGCCCCCATCCCAGCTCCAGGGGAGCCCCCGAGTCCCTGGTCACGGCGGGAGGGGGTCTGCAAAGGGAACGGGCGAGGAAGGCACAGCCCAGGATCAGACACAGCCAATTCGCACACCTGACGCCCATCCCCGGCTCTCGGCTTCTGCCCCTCTCTGCAACCGAACAGGGCATCGCACACCCGCCTCCGCCGCTTTTAAAGTGAAATGACATCAGGATCACCTTAAACAGCCGGAGCCAGTGGGGCTGAATGTCTCCAAGTATGCGCTTCCGCTGCGCATCCTTTACCGAAAGTGTCATCTGTGGGCTTACACGCCAGGGGGAGGGAGGGGGAGAGAGGGAGGGAGGGAGGGAGGGAGGGAGGGAGGGAGGGAGGGAGGAGGGAGGGAGGGAGGGAGGGAGGGAGGGAGGGAGGGAGGGAGGGAGGGAGGGAGGGAGGGAGGGAGGGAGGGAGGGAGGGAGGGGGAGGGAGGGAGGGGGAGGGATGGGGTTTGGCAGAGAGCAGCAATGAATGCTTCTGGTCCTTCAGCCCCAACGGGACTCTCACACACACACACACACACACACAGCACTTTCCTTTCCACGTGTTTCGCTTCTGCCGAAGTTGGGCTCCGAAAGGGATGACTCGAAAGGGCGTTTGTTGGAACAATCTCCTGTCCATTATTCATCGGTTTCTCAACCCCAAACCCCGTCCCGTCTGCGAAGTGATCTGTTCATAGTTTTTTTTAAAAATTTTTCAATTAAGACGGTCACTACTTTATGTTGCCTTAAACCTCCTATATTTCTCACCGCTGTCGTTTATTTGGTCCTGGTTTTATTTTATTTGCACCCATTTTGGTGTGGTGTGGGTGTTGCACTTTTTTTTTTCCATGCTCTTTCCCCCACCCCAAACCAGTGATCTCTCTCTCTCTCTCTCTCCCCCCTCTCTCTTTCCCTCTCTCTCTCTCTCTCTCTGGCAAACTCGTTTTATTTGTTTTGTTTTATTTGTCCCCCCCCCCACCACCACCACCACCACCACCACCATCTACTTCTCATCTCTGTGTACACAATCCTTTTTGCCCTCAACAAGTTTGTCTGTACTTTTGATTTTATTTGTTCCACTATCTGCAATGAAAAAAAAAAGAATGTCGTTCACCCCATTGAAGTCCACTCGATAAAGCACTTGTATCAGGAATCCCAACTCTTTCCCTCTCTCTTTCTCTTCCCAAAGTAACAGTATTTTCCCTCTGTGTACACTTTCAGCAAATGTAGAGGGCGCTAATGTTCTGATTGATCTTGTTCTGTTGGATCAGAATAACTACAGGTGGTTCCCAGATATTATACAGAGCATTTGCATCGAATATCCCTGACTTACACACTTAGACATTTTATTTATTGAACACAGTTCCGCAAAAAGTTTGTAACTGGTTTTTTTTTTTGTCATTTTTTTTTCTCTCCTGTGGGCTGAGTATTTATGCTCAAATGATAAACACTTAAACAAAATTGCACACATTGGGATTTCTCGATGACCGTTGCACAATATTGGACATTTTTGTATTTGTTTATACATATATATATATATATACTAAAATAAGTAAATTGGTATCAAAACACACCAGCCGGTTTAATGGTGAAATAAACATAATTTAAGGCTTAAATAAAATAAATCACAATTAATAATTACAGTTTAAGTAATAGTTTCCTTGGTTTATCTGAATTGGCTCGCAATGATATGAAGTAATGATTCATTGAGCAACTTTACAGTGTTGTAAAGTCACTGTTCTATGTTATTGCATTCTCTATCTTATTCACACACACTCTCTCTCTCTCTCTCTCTCTGTAGCAAAGGATAGGAAGTATATTTTCCCGAATTCCCACGTTAGGGGTTATCGGATTGTAGTTTCCACGACCATATAAATAGACCCTTCCTATTAACGTGGCCTTTTCACACAATGCTACGTGTGCTTTGCTAACTCCTCCAAGTCCTTGGGGACAGAGAGCCTACTATTCAGCCTTAATATTACTTCTGTGTCATTTCCAGAAATATAAAATCAGTGCGAGGTCATTCCAGGAAAGAGCCTACGTATATATTAACCACATGTACACCCAGTACTGACACTGCATTGAGTGTAGTTAGAATACAGTTTCATTTGTGTTGCCTTCACCCAATCCCAAATATTACCACACTCCTCCCAAGTCTGACTCTGGAACTTTATTGTGCCTTTATTTTCTCTGATATTCATTGCAATCCTCAGACACATATGCCAAATGCGTTGAGGTTAATGGGTTAAAATGAGATGAAATGAAACGTGTTGGAAACCGCGAACGACAGAATCGCAGTTAACTCTTTAAGGAACTGTGGAGGGATTTTCTGTAATGCAAATTTTCTAAAAGTAGATTTCTTTTTCATTTCGATTTTTTTTAAAAAAAAGCGTAAGCGGTGCGTGCTCCTCCAATAAACCATTTATAGAGGCGGTAATAATCCCACCTCCCCCCAAAAAATAATAATTTGGTCACTCAATCCACAACAGCTTGTGGGACACTGCTGTGCGAAATTGGGTGTTGGGTTTTGCCCACAAAATACAGTCTATTCACTTCACAGTAATACTCTGCATCAAGTGCAAGGATTATTATTATAGTGCCGTTCGTGTCAGGAGGACATCTCCGAACTCTTCATAGTGCTGGGTGGGCATCTGAGCTAGAGGTGTGGGATGGGGGGGGGGAGAGATAACCGAACCCACGGTCAAAGAGGGTGGCCGAAGGCACTGTCGATGAAGAAGGTCTTTAGACGGGACTTGAAGGAGGCAAGAGAGGGGGTGAGGCGGAGGGATTGCGGGATAGAGTTCTAGAGTGTGAGGGCAGAGATGCTGAATGTCCGACAATCAATGATGAGGCCGGAAGTACAGGGGACCTGAAGCAGGCCAATGCCTGCCGAGCGGAGGGAGCAGATAGGCTGATATATGGAGTTAGGAGATCACAGATGTAGGGCAGAGCAAGACCATGGAGGGCTTTGAAGATGAGAACAAGGGTTTTGAATTCAATTCCCTGAATCGAGTTCAAAGATTATTAGTATTATGAAGATAAAATGGACTGTCACCATTAGTGACTTTGGAACCTGGTTACCAAATACAACAAAGATATCTGCAAGCAGCACCTGTCTATCAGCCTGGCTTTGTGGGAATTTGGTGTAACCTAATATTGGGATACATAATCTTGTTTGCTTTAGCAACTGTTAGAGCGCAGTCAGCACTGACCCTTCCAAGTCTGTGCTGCATTAGCTGCCATTGTTGGCATCAGAATGCACTTTACCTCAGCAATAACATGAGCAACTCTGCTCCAGTACACGTCACTCAGACACGATTTCAATCCAAATTGGCAACTGTTGCCTCCAAGTGAGACTGATATCCTCTAACTCCCTTTTTTTATCTGTCTACAGCCCAAACTACCCACAAAGGCTGCCCCCCTCCCTCCCCCAACCTTATTTAACTCATTAAACAGCGCATTCTACCCAGCCCCAAAGTATGTCGTGGGTTCAGAACTAGTTGAGGGATTTAAGCAGGAACAAAGGTAGGTATAGAAAATATTGGAAGATGAATATCTCCACGTTATAGTACCAGATGGGTAACACTGAGAAAGTATTCTGTTTGTGGCTGAACCATTGGAATAGATCATTATTGTAAATGAGGGTTGAGTTATTTTTACGGTCAGTGATTTATAATGGCTGTAAGACTTTATCCTGCCTACAAAGCATATGTTGTAATCAGTGTATTTATATTGCAAACATTAAAAGGAATGTATAATTGATCCATTGTATAAATATGCCCAGTTGAACCCAAGAAGACCATTACAAAGCATTTCTTTTATTTCTTATTAAAATTATATTTGTGATTCATGTGAATTACAATATGTTGCAGATTATTTTCTGAATCAATCCGGACTGCCTCAAGAATGTTTAGGATTCGAGTGAGTATATTAATGGCAATAGTTTAAGTTCAGAGTTATGAAATTGATGGTTGAGTATTATGCAAATATTAGTAATACGTGAATTATTTACTGATATGTATTTACTGTGACATTTGGCCAGTTCCATTGTGATAATTGTGTAAAACATTTGCAACCTTTAAGTTCCATATTCTGCCTTTATTGGCTGGAAAGAAACAGCAGTTTATCAAAAAAAAAGTCTCGAGGTCAAATGTAGTTTAAATTTAGAAATCCGCAATGTACTGAATAGGGAGGTATATTCACCCTGGTGTCCCCTTCCCACCCTTTCCTTCTGTCCCTCCTCCCCCAACCAGAGCACTTGAGGCCGGAGGTCAGAAAAGTAAGGAGAGGGCGGATTTGTAGATGAGTTTGAAGATCTTAAATATGATTTGTGAGGAACCAATGAAGCCAGGATTAGGGAATATTTTGCACCAAATTTCCTGTAAATCTATATACATTGTACACCCCACTTATCTTCTGAGTGGCCAAATGACAGAGTGATTTAAGTCATCATCTCTTGTCTGAACTGCAGTTACCTAAAAATGTGAGATCAGTGGGATAATTAATGGATCATATGGACAATTAGCTCAGTCGCTCAAGCGGTCTTGGACGCTACCCTGTGTGAGGAGTGCTATATACATGCAAGTTTTTGTTGTTGCCAGACAAATCCTGTGAGTTGGAATGCCTCCCTCCAGCACATTCAAAGCAATGCATTATGAATTTCTAAATTGAAACCGCACGCTTGATCCCCAATATTTATCTTTCTGCAAACGTCTGTCTGAATTAGTAGGCTTTATAAATTCCATTTACCTGGTGGTTTGTGATGCTATGTATCCCAATGCCAAGGCAGGATAAACAGATTCTTGTCCTGATTCACGCAGTCCAATTTTCGTTTCACTTGATAAACCATTGCTGGTGTTTTCCTCCCTTCCCTGGTCACTCAAAGGGTTCATACATGCTACCAAAGCAAAATCGAATGAAACTAAATTCCATGAGTTTCATTACAAACAGCATGTCTTTTTATTTCAATACAAATAAATTCTTCTGTGCCCAGCACATACATATAAAATAAAACCATAAACAGTAATTTTCGGTAACAGTTTTAGTGGAGCTCTGAAAATGTACATTAGAAACGATCACTGAGTGATTTTTGTTCAATGTAAGCATTTTATAAAAATAAATACAGCCTCACGTTTGGTGGACGGTAAACTTGGAATTGTAGATCCACTGGAAAGGCACAAAGAGTAACTGAATGCTTCGAAAGGAAACGTTTCCACCATAGAAAAGTAAATCATAAATGTTTGTATACTTTTTTTTAGGTAACTGCAGTTCAGACTATAGATCACGACTTAACCTTAAACCATTTTGTTATTTGGCCACTCAGAAGATAAGTGGGAAGTACAATGTATATTGTATATAGATTTCCAGGAAATCTGGTGCAAAATATTCCGTAATCCTGACTTCAAGTCAAATTCAAGATCCTCAAACTCTTCTACAAATCCCTACACATCTTCCTCCTCCTTATGTCTCTGACCTCCTGCCTTACTCTCCTGCTTGCCCCCTCTGTTCGACAAACATCTATCAACTGCACATTCCTCACCCACCATCGGCAGATGAGCCTTCAGCTACACTGCCTACCTCTGGAATTCCCTCCCTAAACCTCTCTACCTAGTTCTCCCCCTTCATCTCTAATTTTCACCCAGTGAGTTTGTTCAAACTTAAAATACGTTTACATAAAACCAGAGCTCATATACCCAATTAACTGCTACTTGCACATCTAATGTAGTTTGGTAGCTAATCTTTAAACTACATCTGTTCTTGTCTACCAACTTCCTGAAGCACTGACGAAGATAATCTTATCCATCAACTTCCTCAAGCGCCAATAAAGGTAAATTACATTAAACCTACTTCATTCTCTGTACAATAGTAGGTGAGGGATCCATGCTGACGGAAACTGTGTTCTTTGGAAATCCCTTTTGGTTTTACTGCTGTCATAACTGGCCTACAATGAAAATTGGATGTTAATCACAAGAATATGCAAATCAATTTATGAAATAATATTTTGAAGTATTTCTCTACACTATAAAGTCCAGGTCAATCATCTCCGTGTCAAAGTCATGATTGTAAACCTGTTGAACTTTGATCTGTGTGATTCATGGCATTATCTGAACTCCTCTTTAAATTACAGCCGCACAGATAAAACGTTGTACTGTACCTAGTTATCAAACTTAATAAATCGTAAGAGTCATGGGATGTCATTGTTCCATTTAGGATGTTGTAATACAGTGGTAGACATTAATAACACTTGTGTACTGTGTTACTCTGATTACTACCAGGTCTCATATCCTGCAATCAGTGTTTGGTTTGTATTGACTTCCTTCACCAGATTTCCCACCAGTTCATAAAAGAATTTCTAAAAATATTTTGCTAAGGCTTAAATTGTATACATTGTGAAGATTAAAAAAAAACTAAGCTTGTTTCTAGGTCACAATTCGTTCAAACTTCAGATAATGTTCACAAACTACTACTAGAATGATCTTTTGGTTAATTATGTCTCAACCCTGAGATTCACTGCCATCTTGTTATATTTTGCTAAATATCTCTTATTCTACGTTCAACTTAGTTAGTGTAAGCATTCCATTATTCTATATTTAACACTAAATGCCACACGCACATTGTTTGATTCCAGGAATAATCATTCCCCACATTCTCAAACCAAGCTATGCCTTTCGTGTCAGGGCTTTTGACAGTGACCTTGCACTGAAGCTGAATTAGATGTTGGGGTACTTTGTTCCTGAAGGAATCTCAGATCTTCTAACAGTAGTCATTTTACCGTGGTGATTGAGTGGAGGGGGGAAGGAGGCTTCTAAGGTTTTAAAGGAACATGTCTGAGCATAATAAGAAATTGTATGTTTTGCCCACAAAATATACAATCAATTCACTTTAGACTACATTCTGTGAGGGGCTTTGATAGGTTTCGAAAACGTGATAAGGGGCTATATCAAATCAAAGTATTATTATTAGGGTTTGCATTTTTGGAAAGTGGAGAACCAATCATGTCACATGCTATCTTAGAACATTTTTAATATTTTAAAATGTTTTGGATGAATCTCATTTTTTTCTCGGTTTGTACCGAGGAACAACTGAATAAGACTCTTTGGTGTTAAATGAAATACTGTATCCCAAGTACTACTGTAGCACATCTGAAATGAAATCCTGTTATTTGCATTCTCAATTTGACAGTCAAAATTATTCATTGTATTAATTGCAATATAAGTAAAATTTTGATATCAAAGTAGATTATATCAGTACTGTACTATCAAAAATGAATCATGTATATCATAATATGTCTTCAAGATTAATATATTAAAGCACTACATTTTTGTATTCAGGTTTGGTTTATATACAAGTAATTTTTAACCAAATATACACACAGATATAGAGGTATGTAGACTCACACACACGCATATATATATACACACACACACACACAGAAATTGGGCTGTATAAAACGCTAATAAATGGACAACAGTATTACCAAATGTGCAAATTAGTCAGAGTAAATAATACCCATTATTTTGCTGCCTTCATAATCTTGGTAAAAAGTGGGTCACTGACATCTTAGTAGAAACTCGGTTTCCTTTTTTTAGTTTTCCATGTTTGCTTAATGCTATATACATCCCTTTGTGAACTTCTGATTCATAGGCGTTATAATTGTTAGGCAACAGGGTTTCCCTGAACTTGCATTCATCGTGAAAATTAACCTAGAGACAAAGAGAGAGAGAAACACAATGATATGTTTGTATCTTCACTGACTTGTAGATTGCTGAGTAAAATACAATTACTTGAATGACTAACATTAAATAATGGATCGAGCAGTGTAACTGTAACTGATGTAAATGGAATAAATAGCTTGTTGCTAATGGAGAATTAGACCTCTGCTTTTGTAGAAAACGTTAGATCTACCTTTGCAGATCTATCTTGATTTCAGCACCTGTTTAAGTCATAACAGAATGCTTGACTATTTGTGTTATCGTACAATCTATATGGAAAGGAATTCAACTTTTGACTTTTTGTAATTGCAATTAGTGTTTTGTCATTGCAAAAAAGTCATTCAATTTTAACATATTTCAAATTAATCCAAAAGTGCAACAACAACTGCGTGCGTTTTATAGAGATTACACATTGATGTGTAATATGTTTCACATAGATTGCTGATGAGACTTTGCATTATGTATCTATTTTCCATCATTTTAGTTGGTTTAAACAGTGGCAAATTCCATCCATGTTCTTTAAATGCCAATTTCATTGCATTCCACAATAAACCTATCAAGTGGGATTGTATATACTGGAGAGACCAGTCACCACTTAAAGTTCAAATGAAAAACATTTGTTAGAATTTGGCACCAAAGTTTGGAAAGGTCATCCATATGTTTCTTCATAAGCCTATGACACATGGAGCAATATTTTGGAGATCCAATTTGCCTTCAAATTATAAATAATGCAAGGATTATTACATGTAATGGACAATTAATGGAATAATAATAATAATCCTTCCATTTGATATAGCACCTTATCAAGCCCCCAAGACATCTCAAAGCGCTTCACAGAATATACTGTAAAGTGAATTGACTGTATATTTTGTGGGCGAAACGCAGCAGTCAATTGCGCACGGCAGTGTCTCACAAACAGTCGTGGATTGAGTAAACAAATTATTATTGTTAATAGTAATAATAATAATCCTTACATTTGGTATAACACTTTATCACATTTTTGAGATATCTGAAATCGCTTTAAATATTTATATTGAAATGCCTATTGCATATAATATTACATTGTACATATGCATATGTACAATATGCGATGGCAATATCTTAACAATAAATTCACAAAAAATAACGAGTTAGGGTGTTGCTAAAATATACAAGTACTGTATGTAGAATCATAAAATTTTACAGCAGGGAAAGAGGCCATTCGGCCTATCATGCCCGTGCCGGCTCTTTGAAAGAGCTACCGACAAGTCCCACTCCCCCAAAAAGTTCCGCCAGGAACTTTATATATCACATTTTTATTTGTTAAAATTGTGTAGGTATTTTTTCTGTTTAGCTGATGATTGTTTCAGTGAAGCAGACGCAAATCATATGACATTTGTAGTAATAATAATACTGTGACTATACCTACCGTTCCATATAACCTCCCCTTGTTATTCATTGCCACAAATAGGCCGCTCTTTAGTCCGTACAGCGTAACGACACCTCTTGAAGCAGTTGAAATTTGTAACAAACCTAAGTAAAAAAATAAAATAATAATAATCCTTGGATTAGGTATACCACCTCATCACATCTTTGGGACGTCTCAAAGCGCTTCACAGAATAAAGTGAATTGACTGTATATTTTGTGGGCAAAATGGAGTTGCACAACTTAATGCAGGCTAACCAGTATACAATGCATGTGACAGGCCCTTAAGACTTGGAACAGGTTTAACAAAATGTACAGAGTTAGAATAGGAGTTCCAATCCCTTCCTGACACATAGCATCATGTTCTGAGACTTCCCCACCCATCCCCCCCCACAAACATTTATTACTTGCTTCCCACTGGGCGATGATTTGAAATAGCACAGGATACTGTGTAGGGATTCACAGCTTATTTATATTTATATTGAACCAAAATGACTTGACAGTGGAATGATTACAAGACGTATCGAATCCAGTACATCTGACTTAAATACAGAGATTTGTCTGGACAGTAAACATTTTTATTACAACCCTGGAATGGATTGTATGCAGAGCTATTTGTGTGTGTGTATATAAATATACATATATATATATATACATAAAAACTATCTTATGGTGAAGTATTTTGGAAAGGAAATAAGGAATCTTAATGTAACAACCTAAGATTATGTCTACATTGCAGATGTATATGTTGTTTATTAATTCTCTACATAGAAAAAAGGGACATAAAATAATAAATAAATATGGTCCAATGAGTATTTAAAAATGTACATTCTAATTCAGATGATAACTCCTTTAACATGTGTAAAATATCAAGCATCCATTTTCTTAAAACTTAAATACACTTCCTTCCTCTGGAAACCTTTAATTCTAATTAAGTCACTAGTTTCATATACTGCTACTACTAATAATAATGATACCTAATTTAATATCTGAAATTGAATGCATAATGAATTCTAATACACTCTCTGACAGGTTGAATTCAGCATTAAAGCTCATTATTGCTGCATTTAAAAAAAATACAACTACTTGGAATAATTTCCAACACTGACTCACTGTACTGGCTCTCGCTATGAACACCGTTTATCCTCGCGTCAGGCAGGATCTGAAGGTGAAACCCGATGCCAACATTGCAGTAAAGTCGCCGCAGTCTCTTGATCCCCAGCAAATAGTCAGGACTGTCCCAGTTCAGCTCTGCATTGTGCCCTGAGATCCCAACCATAGACCTGGATAGCAAAGTCTGCCAGTGTGTTCCCGAGGTTCTGTTAGTCCTGGCTGTAAGTGGATACATGTCTATAGTCCCAGCCTGAAGAGCCAGTAGAGCCAATGCAGCTAACGTCCAGTGGATAGGTGCCTTGAAGGACATAGTGAGGAGCTGTCTTTGCACTATAGACATGCAGTTTCCCAGCTACACACGTGGTTCCAATTGATGGCCCTAAAAATACCACTGTTCTAGCTTTTCTTGCCTTGAGTATCCATACTGGGTCTTATTTTGGGAAGGCAGATTAGTATTGCTGACAAGGAACTGTTGCTTTGCAAGTTGGGAGAGCCACAGAGGAAATGCCAGGAAAGATTAGGCATTGGGTGTTCTGATGGGAGTTTTCCAGCCTATTGAGGACTCTGGGTTTAGATGTTGAAACCTTGAGATTCTTTATTGTGGGATCTCTGGATAGCCAGGGTTAGTTCAACTCATGTGGCCATTAGGGGTAAAGCTGTAAGGCACTATCAACCACAGCACTGATCTCCCAGGATTAGGGTGGGATGTCTATGCAGGAGATCCTGGTGCTCAAACGAGCTGCGGGGGAAATTGGAAATTAGGGCTAAAATGAGGTTTCAGTGAATGTTCCTGCAGGGAGCTGATGACATGACAGATCCCGATCTGAGTTGCTGCTCATTTATCTGGAACGTGGCTTCCTAAATTTAGACAAAGTGTAAAAATTCACTGCAGCAAGCTTCCATGCTCACTCAACATGCGACTTAAAGGGTGGAATTCAAAGCCCTGTCCTGTATGGAAGCTGCAGAGAGAGAGATGGTGATTGGTACCAAATTATGAACATCTCCAAAAGTGATTCAGAGTTTGAATGTATTTGTGGTCTGATGAGATACACAGGATCTCCACCCAAAATATTGGTGCCTGGTTTAATTGGGAAGATTCATCATACCTTCAATATAGGATCTGACCAGATAACTTTCCTGATTTGTATTATGTTGCGATTTGGTTTGTGCTGCAGTCTCGGCTCCATACATAAAGTCTGACATCTTTATGAAATGTAGAATCCAATTCTAATGTTCGTTTATTTCACTTTTATTTCAAGTGCCAGGTTGGCACTTGGTGTAAATGCAAGGAAATTGGTACAACTGTAAATCATTGCATTTATTCACGGGGGAATATAACAGTGGTTAAATGATGATGATATTTCCACTTGCTTTTTTTAAAAAAACAAAATTCCACCAATGATAATCGCCACTAGCCTAAAAAAACAGAGTTCTAGTTAATGCTGACAACTAAACTCTGTGGGTACCACATATGATGTCAACACGATTCAGTCTTGAACGTGAAACTGATGGGGAAGGAGGTGTGAAAGAACATTGGTGATATTGTATAATGCAATCCAGTACTATTTCGATTTTACCACATAAACAGTGTTCAAGATCAGGTTTTAAAAGCAACAGCCAAGAAAGATTGAGAGAGTTCTTAACTAGAGTCAGATGATTAGTTGGAGGCTTCCTCTTGCAGATGGAAGTTAATTCTCAGGCCCTCACTAACCTAAACTTTGGAACTCTGCCCCCCCCTCCACCACCCCCAATCCCTCTGCCTTGCCACCTCCTTCCCCTGTTTTAGATCACGATTGAAGCCCTTTCCTCTTAAACTGTGCTTACGGTCACCCCTTCCCTCCCTCAGGCTATTAAGCGCTTCGAAATGCTGCCCCGAGTGAAGGGCGCTAATATAAATGCAAGTTGTTGTTGTTGTAGGGTAGGAAGCTGCTCTCAATTCTGAAGTGAAGCTGAATACAATGGAACTTTATCAAAGAAACAACTGGGACCATCAAAAGTGTTCTTATTGATAGCAATTTATCCCACAGGTTCCAAACCTTTGTTGATGACTATCCGAGACAAAGGGTAACGTTTCTTATTAATAATAATTCTTGCATTGATATAGCACCTTATGTTGTTGAGACATCTCAAAGCGCTCCACAGGATATACTGTAAAGTGAATTGGGTGTATTTCGTGAGTGAAATTTTTATTAAGAATATTTAAATATTTATCAAGATAAAATCTAGATCTAGAAATGTGGTTTTGCTGAGCCAAAGCTTTGGAGTATTTGGGCAACACACAGTGAACATCCATAGGAATAGTTAACACACTGGGAAAGTGAGCTTTAAGAAGAACATAAGAGCATAAGGAACTTAAGCAAAAAAGGGAATTAGGTCAGTCAAACTCATTCCTTTCACAGATGATATGCAAATCTCCTTATATGGATCCAACCAACTTATTTAATTTTCCAAGAAAGATGAGCAAAAAAAAAATCTCTCCCGGTTCTCAAGATAATGCATGTTTCTGCTACACATGGGTGATGAATTCTTCTGATCTACCATTGACGATAACTTTACATTCAGATTTCAATCCTTGCTTGTGTAAAAGATTCTCTGTCGTATACTCTACCTCTGAGATTCTACCCAGGTGAAAGGCGCTATATAAATACAAGCTCTTGCTATTCAATGTTCTACCCTTGCTCAATGTACGGAGAATTGCAGGCATGAACCAGTCTGTTAATATAATTTAAATACAGTGCTCGTGCCACAACATCCTGCTGTGTCATTAGGCTGCCTTTGCTGGAATGGTGCTTCTACTTTCTTTAGTTAACGTCTGAAACCACAGGACCAATACAAGTGAGATGGAAAAAGCAGGATTAAAAAAAAGTAAGAAAGCACGAACAACCATGCGTAATTTTTCTGGTAAACCTAAACCACTGATGACAGCTTCACGAATTCCATTCTCTGAAACACAAAACTGCCCTCCCATCTTCGTCTTGAAAGAAGGCAGGGATCTCTGGAGGATCACATGCAGTCTTCTGTTATTTATGGTCCAACGCCACTTGCTGCAGTCTATTTGACCACTGCTTCTGTAAACTATGTGAAAACTTTTGTGTGAGTTAATAATAATAATAATAATCCTTGGATTTGATATAGCGCCTTATCACATCTTCGAGACGTCTCAAAGCACTTCCCAAAATATACTGTAAAGTGAATTGACTGTATATGTTGTGAGGGGAAACACGGCAGCCAATTGCGCACGGCAGCGTCCCACAAACAGTTGTGGATTGAGTGACCAAATAATTTTTATTTATTTATTGACTATTCAAATTTCAATTTAAAAATCATGTAACAATTATAAAATAATTTATTTTGCATTTTAAAAAATATTATTAAATCAAACCTGATTCTCTGTGTAACTGCCTGTGCCAGCTTATTATGATATTTACTTCCATTTTAATTGACACATGCTAAATATTTTAAATTCTTTAAAAGGGACGGACACATGAGGCTGATGCGATGAAGTGGCTAAGAATAATGTGTGTGGTTAAATTTAGTGAAACAGTCTTTTTATCATATTCCTTGATACTGCTTCTGTCTAAGTATCTACCTATCTCCGTTTTAGACATCCCTATTGATTTAGGATCTACACTTTTCTGTGGCACATTCCAAATCTTCAAGACCCTCTGTATGAATAAATACTTCCTGGCTTCTCTTTTAGCTGTCTTAGTTATGATTTGAAGGCTTTGCTCCTTTGTAAAGGGTTCCTCTGTCAGAGAGAAGAGTCGTTCATTATCTAAATTGTCACTTTCATTATTTTAAATACCTCAATGAAATTGTCCCTTAATCTCCTCTGCTCTGAGGAACAACAGCAGCAAATCGCATCTTATATAGTGCCTTTCACGTTGGAAGAACGTCACAAGACACTGAAACATAAATTTAAGTCTATTCAATCTCCATCAATAATAATAATAATCCTTGCATTTGATATAGCGCTTTTCACGTCGGGAGGACGTCCCAAAGCGCTTGTTGTCGTATAGAATAGAAGTGAATAGATGTCATTTAAAACCAATGAAAGAAGTCTAATGTTCTTCCAGAGAAGAGGTGGAATTTTCCAGATATTTTTTCCTTTGAATTGGCCGTGTATTTTTATCTTTTTTTTCTTTCACGAAGAGGCGACTGAGTGACTAGCGTCAGAAGTATAGTTGGATGGAATACAGTTTGGAGTGGGAGGTGGATTGGGCAAATTCTTCGAGAAATGGAATTGATGGATCCCGGATCTTGTTCTACTCTTTGCTTTCTATTTATCAATTCCATTTATCGCTTCTTTATTTTGAGCAGAGAGGAATTCTTTATTGACTTATTTCTAATTTGTTAAATTTCAGAATTTCCCGACTCCTCCCTCCACAAACTGTAGATTATTCTGTAGATTCGGATTGGCTCGCGCCAGCGCCTCCGCACTTCAGGCGCTGGCAACATCAGCCTCCACGGCTGCACGCTCAACCTCACTAAACCATCAGGAACCTGGGTGTCTTGTTCGACCCTGAACCATCCTTTCTCCTCCACATCCGTGCCATGACTGGCACTGCCCACCACCACCTCCGCAACATTGCCAGACTCCGCCACTGCCTCACCCCTCAGGCTGCCCAAACCCTCACCCACACATTCATCACATCAAGGCTCGACTACGGGAACTCTCACCTCATCAGCCTTCCCAACTCTTCCCTTCACAAGCTGCAGATCATCCAAAACTCTGCAGCTCATGTACTCTCACGAACCAAGCTCCGTGACCCCATCATCCTCGCCCGACTCGACTGGCTCCCCATCCCCCAGAGGATTGAAGATCCTCGTCCTCACTTTCAAGGCCATCTCTGACCTGCTGACTCCCTACCAATCTGCCTGCTCCATCCGTTCAGAGAGCTCCGGCCTGCTCCAGGTCTCCCGCCCTACCATCGATGGCCGGGCTTTTAGCCTCTCTGCCCCCACACTCTGGAACTCCATCCCACGGTCCCTTGGCCTCGCTTCCTCCCTCGCCTCCTTCAAGGCCAGTCTCAAGACCCTTCTCTTCGATCATGCCTTCGGGCACCGTCCCACCTCTCTGCCTTCCCTCACCCCTACACTACCCCTCCACCATGCTCAGGCCCCAACACCTGACTGTTCAGCGCTTTGGGACGTCCTCCCGACATGAAAGGTGCGCTATAATTATAATTTTGTTGTTGTTGTTGTATTCAGAACTCTACCACACTAAGCTTCATGAGCCAATCACTCCCATCCCTGCCCGGCTTCACTGGCTCCCCATCCCCCAGTGGATTGAGTTCAAATTCCTTGTCCTCACTGTTAAAGCCATCCACGGAACTTTTT